ACTAGAAAAACATATTTCTGTACGCGTTTGGTCGAAAACAATTGGGGTCTAGCCCTATATTTTTTTTTTTCCAAAAGGGCGGGGAAAAAATAACCTTTTTATTTATCCAGTGGCGCGTTTTTTTTAAAAAAAAAATCCTAGTTATCTTTTGATTAATTGACGGAAAGCCTTTTTGGCCCAAAAACTTCAATGCCCCCAGTGCAGAGGAACTGTCAATTGATTGGCGAACCAAGATATTTTTTATTTTCATTTGAAAAATTTTTACATGCAAAATTTTTAAAAATCAAAATTATTTTTTTTCAAAATCTGTGTGTTTCTTTTTGAGTAAAAAACACCTTCGAAATTTTCGTTTCTCTTTTCTTTCAATTTTTGTTTTTGTCTTCTTGGATATCATTTTGTGAGTACTTAAAAAGTCAGTGTAAATTTGTAAACTAAATAACTTTTATCTTAAGTTGTAAAGTATTTTATGTAGGTGAATTTAAAACATTTTTTAATTTTTTATTTTCGGGGTTGGGAAAACTTTTTTGATGAAAATAAAAGGAAATTCTGCCGAGCCCAAGGGAAAAAAGAAAAGATTAGGTTTTTTTCTTTTGCTTATAAAATTGTTTGAAACCATTTTTGTCATAGTAAAGTAAAGAAAAAGACCCTTTAAACCCTTTAGGCGTATCGGGCATATGGAAAGAGCGCCATATTTTTACAGACCATCACACTCGGGGGGGTATGTGGTCAGCATTCGCCGGCTGTCTTTACTTTCCGGACGCCCTCCTGGTCCCCTTTGAGCTGGGTCGACCTCGACCCCCATACCAGATACAAACCCCACCAGCCCGCAGTGGGTTTCATCGCGTACTTGGTTTACAGTGGACTCGCAACCCCTTAGCCACGGACCAAAATATTTTTTTTCACAATTTATTGTTATTTCGGGGAAATATAATTTTCATTCCAAAAAACAGCTACTCTTTGAAGACGATTCTGTTAGTCCTTTGTAGGGAAGGGACTGCAAGACCATTTGAACGCTAGACTGCAAAGATATAACATGAAAAAAAATATACAAAAAAGAGTAATGCAGAAAAATAGAATTCCTAGTCCGCTACATATGATTGAATGGTACTTTTCAAAGCCAGATTCGAATTTTTAAAATCTTGGGTAATTTCCGGAGGATGGGGGAAAAGATAGGGAAAAAAAAAGAAATGCCCAAAAAAGCCCGTGCACTTATATACCAACTGACAATTTTTAAGACATCAAACTAATATCAGCGAAGAAAAGATTATAAAAAGCCATTTACACCACACTGTGCTACCCTGCCCGACTTTTCATTATCAAAGGCTAACTACTGAAATTTGCACCTTGAATAAAATGCCAGAAAAAAACCGCCAACTTTATCATCCGGAGAAAGTTAAAAATGATTTATCAGACAGATTGTGGGAAACACCTGCAGCCTTCATTTAGAAAAAGAAGATCACATGGTTTAAACATCTATAAGAATGCACCAAACAAATACAACCAGGCCACAATAAAAAATTTTTAATGAAAGCAAGAGGGCGTCCTAACAGAAGATGGATTGATGACATTAAAGAGCTTTTTTACATCGACAGTAGCCTTGCTGCCCATCAAGCAGGGATCGCAACTGTTCCTCCCCCAATGCTTAAAGACAGAAATGGGAAAATGATGATGATGATCTATTGTTAACGGGAGAATCCATGTGGGGTTCTTGGGCCCCATTTGGGGAAAACGGCATAGACCCCCTGCCTCCCGAACCAGCATTAAGGGGGACTAATTCGGCTTCCTTCAAAATCAAGTGCGTCTGCCTAAGAGGTAAGGGTCCAATATCTGCTAGAAATAAGAAAGATCTGAAAAAGGGGGTTTGCACATGCAAAACTGGGGGCCCTAAAATAAAGCCAAATCCATCTTTGGGAATAAACAACCGGGTCTTTCCACCGGGGTTTACAGCCTTTAAACAACAACGGTTAATTTAAAACCCAAGCAATGTTTAAATATCTTTTTGGGGAATGTTATTCTCATTACGTACTCCAGAAGACCACTCATTTCCCCTTCCCAGCTGTTTTCTTCTTCTGGCCCACCCCATCTCATGTCTAGTCTTTCCCAAATCCACCACTTTGCATCAGCTCTCTCCATTTTCCCTCCCCATTTTTTTTAAAATTCCTCTCGACCTCCTTTCTCCTGTTTTTTTGGTCTTCCTTTTTTCTGTCCCTTTCTGTGGGGTTCCAGTTCAAAAAAATTTTTAGTTAGGTTTTTCTCAATTTTGGGCTAATGTGTGCCCCTGTCCAACCCCAGCATCTTTGTTTCCCCTTTTGGTGACTAAAAACTCGTTTTTTTCCCTTCCCCAAACCCTCTGTTTTGTAATTCCATAATACCTTTTAAAATTCCCAAACCATTTAAATGAATGTTTGAAATTTTTTTAGTAACTGCCTTATTTTTTAAAGGCCAAAAAAATTAAAAATTTAAAAACAAATTTAAATTTGTTAACTCAAATGTAAAACCAGAAAAAATCGTACTGTTATGTGAGGGGTTTACAACAAAGGGCCCGTTTGCCCCTACTTCACCCAAAGTTTACTAGGGGGGTTTTCTAGATCCTGTACCCACTTTGGGTGCTGGTTGACCCTCCCTTTTTTTTCCCGGGGCCATCCCCTCCATTACTGTCCCAAAATTTTCATTATGGGGGTTTTATCGGGGTTAAAAAAATTTTTTTTTAAAAAAGGGGACCACCCCTTTGTGTATCCTGCATATATGGAAAACCTACACAGAGCTTTTATAGAAAAAAAAAATTGTTTTCTTTTTCTTCCTCTTCAAAACCTGTGGCTTGACGGCTAAAACCCCACCTGAAATTCGAAAGGGGTGGATCGGGCGCCCTTGGCGGAGCCTGATTTTTTTTTTTTTTTAATGATTTTTGACCCCCTTTTTGCCCCACCCTTTTGGGGGGAAACCTGGGGGAAATTTTCTGGGAATAAGGTCCCCGCGTGATGCTGCCCAAAAATCACTCCCCAAAGTGACGGGGGGTTTCAAAAAAATCTGGGTCAAACCCTTTAAATTTTCCCCTTTATGTTTTTTTTTTATCGCCCAGGGGCGCATGAGTTTTTCCCCCCTTTTTGGCTTTTTTTTCACAAGCTTTTCTTTCCCCCGTCCCGGGTTTTTCCCCTTGTTTTGGTCTCGGGGGGAGTAGCTTTTCTTTTTTCTCACTGAGTTTTTGGGCCCTCAAAGAGATGGTGTTCAACTTTTCGTAGGGGTAGTTACTACCTGGCACTCTGGGGGGTGTTTTTGGCTGAAATTCCTTTTTTCCGGTGCCCATTGATTGGAGTTTTTGTTTTTCTAAGCCCTAAAAGATGGTGGCCTGGTCCCTTCTTGTTAGGGGTTTTAAATGCTTCTTTTAGGATCAGGGCCGACATATGTTAAAAACCTCTTTTCCAGTGTTTCCCATGGCCCACCCTGTTAAACCAAGTCCCTTTGTTTATGCTCTTTCAGTTTTTTTGGGCTGTCTGGGGGGTTTTTCGCTGTAGGTGGTTGTTCTTGTGTTGCTCCTTTTTTTGCCAAACTGTCCCTCTGTCATTTTCCCGGTTGGGGCCCGGGGTGACCTTTAAACCACGGGATCACTATTCTGATGTTGTTGAGGTTAAAACTGATCAGCTCCCGGTTATCTTGGCTATGTCAGTTCTGCAGCGTTAAATGCCCCCCAGAGCTTAAAAGGGGGAAAATTGAAACTGTGAGATGACAAAAATTTTTTGGGGCCTTTGGGAGGGTAAAAAATCCTTTTCAGTCTTTAGGTGGGATCGCTGTTTCCCTGCAATTATTTCGCTTCTAGTTTTGAACCCGAATTCCCCGCAGCTCAAAAATTTTTTTTAACGATCCATCGGGATAACTTAGTAGATTTTCCCTAACCCGCTTTAATGGTAGCTTTGAATGCTGATTCCCTCAGTATAACATGTATCCATTCTTGGGGTAAGAATCAACCCTCCCCTTTTTGTGAAATTTTTAAAAGCATTGGGTCGGCCCGTTTTGGTTTTTCTTCGCCTACCAATTTAGTTCGGACTTCTGGAGCTTTAAAGCGAGCATGTGGTGGTAGGTTTTTTTTGCAACATTCTGAATTCCTTTACATCTTTTTGGGAGGTGGTATCTGTCCTTAATTTCATTAAACAGTGTAAACCGATTTGGCTTTATTCTTTGTTTTTTGGGTTTCCCCCGTTTTCTACAAGATGTCCCATTTAAAAGGTTTACATTTTTCCCAAACCCCCTTTCATAAATTTTTTAAAGGTGTTTTTTTCCCCTCCGCAACCCAGGGGTTCCCATTTGTATGGAAATTTTAAAATCAGCAGTTGGGGTGACTGCATGCTCCGGGGATTAATAGGGGCATTATTTTGTACTCTGTCAAAGTCTCTAAAGGGTTTGTTTTGGGGCAAGTTGTAACATTTAGTTGTTGTACTCTATCATAGAGCGAAAATATCCTAGTATAAACCCCCCAGAGTTTTTCCTTGTCCCGATTCCCCATGATTTACCTGCCCAATTTTCTTTAATAAAATTAACCCCCCTCAAAGCCTTATTCCTGATGTTTTCAAAATGGTTTTTTGAAGGGTGAGCTGCCGGGCAAATGTGACTCCAAGGTAGTGGGTGCTCTTTTTTCATCACTTGGTGTTTGTCCCAACCTAGGTTATATTTTTCCTTGCACTTGGTGGCTTTTGGGGAAAAATTGTGTAGACGTTTTTTGCACAGGTTTAAAAATTTAGTTTCCCTCTTTGGGGAGTACTCTGCATTTTTCTAAAGGGCTCCATTCAGTCTTTGGGGGTCCCTTTCCAATTTTCAAAGACTCTCCAATTTCTAGGTCCTTTAGCGACAAGGCTTTTTTTGGCCTTTATTTGTTTTGGCAGGGCATTGATAAAGATTTGGATAGTTAAAAAGCTCATTGATGAGCCTTGGGCAAACCCTCCTCCAAGACTTTTTTTAGAAAAGATTGCTTGTGCATCTTAGTCTGGATTGTTCTATCTATCAGGAAGAATTCACCCGTTTAAAAACCGGGCCCTTTATTCCTATTTTTTTCATCTTTTATCAGGAGACCTTTTCTCCAAACTCCCGTCAAGGCCGCTGGGGGTCGACAAAGACTGCCCCTGTGTGTTTCTTATTCTGGAAGCCATCAAAGTATTCTTTGTGTCAGTCTGAACAGCTTTCTTCTTGGGGAGCTGTTGGGTTTTTGAAGCCTGCCTGTTCGGGATAGTACCCCAGAAATCTCAAGGGAAACCAAAAAAAAGCCCTGTTTATCATTCCCTTTTTCAACTTTGCCTAAGGGGATTATGTTTAAGGGTATCGGGCGGGAGCTTTTGGGGGCTCTGGGGCTTTTTTTTTTTAAGAATGGGACGATATATGCATTCCTCCCTGCCTTTGGAGTTTTCTTACCTCCAACTTTTATTTAAAAAAGCCTTGAAACTACTTCTCTCCCAGACCGGCCAAGTGTAGCAAACATTTCGTTGTGGATCTTATCTGGCCTGGAGATTTTCTATTTTTTTAATTTCTTCGGGCTTGCTCTAATTATCCATCAAAATTCATTTTAAAAAAGGGATCGCGGGCTTTTGAGCCTCTCTTGTTTCTTCACTGAGGGGCTGTTTTTCTATTGATTTCTGACAGCTTCCTGCCTGTTAACTGAGGAAAAATAAGGATTAAAAATGTTCGCTTTCTTCTTGTTTTCATGTTGTCTTACCCCCATCTGCACTTTTTTTTTTTCCCATAACCCTAGAGGCGTTAAAAGGGGGCCCTTTTTGGTGGTTTTTTTTTTTACCTCTTTTTTCTTCTTTATTCCTCTTTTCCTATCCGGAATTTAAGGGGAATATAAATTTTCTACTTCTGTCTTCTGCGTTTTTGACCATAGCCCCTCGGCTTTTGTAGAGTTTCCTGATGTTATTTTTTTATCTTAAGGGGGTTCACGGGAAAACATGGGGATTGCTGGTTTGGAAAAGTAGGGTGGGGTTTTTGTCCCACGGGCCATTACGGGAGCCATCCTGGATCACAGTGAAATGTCCTGGCCAGTAGGACTCTGGTGAAGTTGCGACAGGCCTAGCAAGCCTGCAGAGGATTTATTATCGCTACTTGAAGTACAAAATTAAGTGTTTAAGTGTACAGATTTATATTTGGAAGCCACAGTAACAGTGCTAGAAGCTCACTTGCTGACCCAAAGGTCTAAAGTTCCAATCTGCTCCTCCCCGTGTGGGTTCCAGGGCCCCATTGTGGGAAAAACAAAATAGACCCACAGCCTGCCCAAAAGCATGTCATAGTAGTCGACTAATTGGGAGCTTCCTTCGAAGTCGGAGTACATCGCCTGAAGGCAAGGAACCAACAGTTTGCATGCAGATAACTAACCTGTGAAACAATGTACAACAACACAAGTTTCTGAAAAGGGCTAGAGTCCAAAGTGGGGAACAACCACCTCCTATTTTCGCTGGGGAAAGCGAAGAGAAGAAATCTCCCAGGCTGATTTTTTTTTTTTTCCTTTCAAACTTGACCTTGAGTTTGGGGTTGACTCCGCCTACAACAGTTCCAGGGGAAAGCCTGAAAAGTAAAAACAGGCTGGTTATGTTGACCCACTCCATTGAGGGCGATTGGATTTAAAAAAGTAATTTTCACTTTTTTAGAACCACGGGCTTGAAAAGGTAGGTCCTTTTTTTTTAAATTTTTTTAAATGTAAAAAACCCTTTTACTTTTTACTTCATTTAAAATGTTCACATTGTTCGTGATATTATTATCATGATTTTAAAATCATTTTATTTTTAAATTGCCCTAAATTAGCGGGCTGTTTTTGATGTGATCGGGGGCTTGGGTTTTTGGGATGAAAGGAAAGGAGAGTGGAGCAAATGTATACAGACAGCAGAACTGCAGGTATGTATGTGAGATCTAGTATCTCTGACTGTTAGCTATAGTATCACAGAGCAGGGTACTACTGGCTGACCCTGGCAGTCTCAAAGATATGCTTCTTCTTCTTCTTTTTCCCTTTTTCCCTTTCTTTTTCTTCCTTTCTTCCTTCTTTCTTCTTTTCTTCTTTTCTTCTTCTTCTTCTTCTTTTTCCCCCCCCCCCCGTCTTCTTCTTCTTCTTCCTTCTTTTTTCTTCTTTCTTTTTCTTCTTCTTCTTTTTTTTCTTCTTCTTCTTTTCTTCTTCTTCTTTTTCTTCTTCTTTTTCCCTTTTTTTCTTTTTTCTTTTTTCTTCTTCTTCTTCTTTTTTTTTTCTTCTTCTTCTTCTTCTTCCTTTTCTTCTTCTTTTTTTCCTTTTTCCCTTTTTCTTCTTCTTCTTCTTTCTTTTTTCTTCTTTCTTCTTCTTCCTTCCTTTTCTTTTTTTCTTCCTTCTTTTTTCTTTTTCTTCTTCTTCTTCTTTCTTCTTCTTTTTCTTCTTTTTCTTCTTTTCTTCTTCTTCTTCTTCTTCTTTTCTTTTCTTCTTCTTCTTTCTTTTTCTTCTTCTTCTTTTTTTCTTTTTTTCCCTTCTTCTTCTTCTTCTTTTTTTCTTTTTTCCCCTTC